TCGCCTCGTACGACCTGCAGGCCGGAGTCGTCTCGGAAGTCCAGAAAATTGTTGTTTGTCTATAGTCATACTCTTATAATATTGTATTATACTATACTATGTGACTATATGCCATATCATATGGTATTTTGTTATATGACACTGATGTACAAGTCCGGCCAGACACGAGTTGAGGCTCGTTCAGCCGCGAGACCACTACAGTAGGGGCCGGGGACAGGAACGATTGCTTGGTGGGGGGGGGGGGGGGGGTTGAGCGCTTGACGGTTCAGCAAACCGAACTGCAATGTGGCAATGTGGAGGTTGTTTTAAAAGTCCGGGTTGCAGGGACCATGAGGGGATCCTAGCAAAAAAAAAGGGGACTCTACTGGTAGCCGCCCAGTACGAGGAATCCACGCTATGAGCAACTGCCATTTGCTGCTCCCCAGTTGCAGGCGCTGTGCTGGCTGGCGGACTTCCCACTGTCTTGTCAGGCGGAGATTGCCGTTTCTTGTCTTGATTGAGGTTTCTCAGTGACGGTATAAGTATAAGGTTTAGGGTCCCATTTGTGGTTGTTCACAGGTGTTGATTTTTCTTTACCCCTGCTGCGCATGAGAGATGCAGGCTCAAAGACATGGCTCGTGGGGTTAAGGTGTAGGACTTCAGCTGACAACAAGAGCCTGGGTTCAACAAGGGCTTAGGCTATTTTAGCCCTGGGAGGAGATTGACACAGCCTGATTTGCTCAAGGCCATCCGTCAAAGCCACCGGTGAGCGCAAGTACTGGTAATTGAAGCTGCTTGTTCATGGACGGTTCCGCATACAACATCTTGAATCTTGATCATGGATTAGAACGGAGTCAAACCACGCGGACCAGTCGCAATGACAAGTGCAACAAGAAGGCAACAGAACACAGGTTCACAGACGACGACAAGTGAAGTTTGCTTTCACCACGCGCCGTTCTAATGCCAACCATTGCGAGAGTCGTCACCACGTTCGTCAACGCAACCAATTAGACCCTAAAGTATTCATGCAAGACTGCCCGGAAATTTGCACTGGTGAGTGGCCACCAGCTTAGCTCTGAGATTCGGCAGCTTTGGGTGAGAATCCTTGTTATAGTAATCTCTGTAGAGCCCTTATAGCAATTGTACAGTATCCCTGATTCAATTCCTTACCCCGCCAAGGACCGTCTCACAACATACATCCAGCAGATCTGGTTGCAGTTTCCGCGGGAGATGTGGCCGGCCACGGGCCCTGACCAGGATCCCATGGCATGCTTCTTCGATGTCACGTGGCCTCGAAGCCGTAGAACCGGCAATCCTGCAGTCTCGAAGCTGCTTTGAACAAGGATGGTAAAGCTGTGCGGCAGCATCACCACCATCATGTTACTTACCATCCCCATCACAGGTCGCTTTGTTCTTGACGAGCGAGTGTTGTTGTGATCACGGTTTCATCTTCGCCTCCCGTTTCATCTTAATTTCAGGAGTAGGTCTACTTGTTCTGCATAGGGCCGCACCTCAGCTACGAACCTGGCATCTTCCCAGTCCATGCCAGGCCTTCCTCCACTACATCAGGCGCGTGGGAGAAAGGAACAAGACAAGACTAGCTCATTAAGTGACAGCAACAACAGCTACTACTACAAGAACTACTAGTGCCAGGTGAGTGACAAAAACTGGTACTACTGCTACCGCTACTCCTACTCGACTGCTGCGACTGCGACTACTGCTACTGCTAGTGCTCCTGCGACTACTGCTACTACTGCTACTGCTACTACTGCTGCTGCTGCTGCTGCCGCTACTGCTGTGATACTGCTGCCGTTGCCGCTGCCACTACTACTACAAGTACTACTACTAGTGCCATGTGGGTGGCTGACTGCCTGACGACGACCACGACCACCACCACCACCGCCGCCGCCACCGCCACCACCGCCACCACCGCCACGACTACACTACTGCTTCTGCCGAGGTCGTAATCGCAAGTGGAAGCCGCATGCCTATTGGCCATTGAGCGGGATTTGATAATCTCTGGCCATCGTCGCTGTTACCGTGATCAGTGGCAGTGTTGTCTGCTTGGCATTCAGCTCCACCAAACGAGCAGAAGACAGGCCATGCAAACAGCAGTGCCCTTGTCATAAACGACGCTTGGAAGGTCGTTGGGCCTTGACAATCTGGGAGCTGTGGGAGGTCGCCAGCTTCTTCAACGTATGGGTGTCATCGAGGCCTTGTTGGCGGAGTTGTGTTGAGGGGCCCGATCAAAGCCTCGGGACTTCAGGGAAGGACCTAGAATTGACATTCCTTGGGCAAATGTCGGGGTGAATGCATGACGGAGTTGTACTTGGAGCGTCGGGAGGGCTTGATAGCCCCGATGCCGAGGCCTTTATGGAAGACGGCTTGGTGGCATGGCATAAGTAGCCTTTGATTTCTCCCACAGCTGCCAGAGAGTTCATCTTCGCCTGTGTTCAGCTAGCCATGTTGCATCGCATGCCAGGGAGAGTTTGGAGCTCCTTTTGAAGCAGTGTTTCGTCCCGAACTAGGCAATCCAAAGACAAATGCCTGCATGAGCCAATCAGCTAAAGAAGCGCTGGAAAGCCAGGCACGAGCTTGAGAACTTCGTAATACAATGGTACTATTGTGTTATGACGGTAGCATTGATAGTAATGTAGTGGTAAGATAACGGGAATACAAGGGCATTGCAATGCTATTATCATTGATTGTAATTGTGAACCCGGGCTTCCGGGAGGCCGACGGCGGCTTTGTTTACCGGGCCTCTATGATGATTCGAGAGCACCGCGAGGAGGATCCGCGCGAGGCCAGCATCGCCTGAACCTTTGTCTTGGGCCCTGGCACTTTCCACTGCAGTAGGCCCAGTAGGCTTAGGGATCCACAGCTTGCCTTAAACCGTAAGCTGTGAGAGGCGAAGCCTCGCCTGGTGCGTTTGGAGAGGCTAAGCTTTGGCGGATGTAGTAGTAGAATTGTTAAATTGCGGTGGAGTGCTCGCCGCTCCTCATGCAGGCCTTCTTGTTTGCGCACCACCCGAACCCTACAACCCTTATTCCGGGTTGGGCCTTCGAGGCTGCAAGCGAGATGACTTTTGGGGGTCCTACGAGGACACGCCGTGTCTTCAGCGCCATCGCAGCAGTTTGGATTCAGAGAGTGCTAGAGATTGGGAACCATAGGAGTCAAACTGGCAGCAGGCCTTTCCATTTACATGCGCCATGCTGCAAGCTGCACACCGAGAAATCTGCCGGGCCGGGTTCTAGTCCCACACGATACCCTGTGCCCAAAGGCTACGCCGAATACCGGCTGCAATCTCCGGCGCATACGGCCGCCATGTTCGAAAAGCTTTAAGGATTTTGGGCTTGGGAGTTGTCTCAGATCCTGCGGGGTACTAGCAGTTTCGAGTCAGCTTGCCTTCAGAGGGGCACTGTGGGAAGCTGCCGTTGCAAGCTGCAGTCAAGCCAAGGACTACCTCGAAGGGGCACTTGTCCAGGACAGGGAATCTGAACGTTTCGTCTTTCCTTTGAAGCCGGAACTAAAGAATCGCTTTTGTCGAGGAGAACGGCGCCAGGGGCCCGCACCACGCGACAAGCCCGCTCCATGCGCTGCAGCCCCGCGGCTGCACCGTCGACTCTTAAAACTGGATGCGGCAATGTGGCCCACTCCAGTCCGTTTTTGTTGTGGCTTCTCTAGGACTCTAGGGAAAAGAGGCAACGGCGCATCAGGGAAGTTCGTGGGAGCTGCTTCCTGGCGCCGCTTTCGGCTCAAAGCTCCCTGCAACTCCTCCGGCCTCCGGCGGGCCCCTGTTAGCGATGCCGACCGTAAGTGCCATCCTCGGGTTGCTCGGAAGCTCGCCCCGAGCTCAAGGAGGGGACCCCGCTGTGTTTCCTGAGGCGTCTTCTATGACTGCTTGCAGAAAGCATTGGGGAACGATGTGACAGAGGAGAGTTTTGACGAGCGCTCCAGCTGCATCGTAATGTGACTCCAGTGACAGTTGCCCGACAGTTGCATTATATCTTCAAGCACAACAGATTCCACAATATGTCGATATGTTTCAGCTTAGTACATTACATGACAGTCTAGTATATGTGTATACACGTATGTACCCAATTACATCGTATGATATTCTATCATAGTGTTTCCGCCTTGTCTCTCTTATGTGGTTCGAAGGCTTTGCTTCGAGTTTGGCCTTGAGCTGGATGACGTCACCTCTCAGAAGGAGATGGTGCCTTGTAGGCGATTTTGGGTCTACCCATGGTCTCCAGAAGCTGGTTCACCAAAAGCATCTACTATGGAGACTATAGTCAACTTAGTTATAGGTAGGCTTTAGGGCAGATCTTGGCCTCATGGCGATGTGGTTTGGAGATCGTAGACACAGAGACAACTCCTCAAATGCTTAGGTCGAGAAAGAGCGAGGCGCAGATGCGGCTGCAGACATGAGTGCCGCTTGGTTGCACGTGCTCACTTTGGTGACTTTGGTGAGGAAAGCAACCCCCACATCTGCGAGGATCGGGTCATTTTCAAAGTGGATGTGCCCGCAAATCGATACGATCTCCTGTGCATTGAGGGCCTGGTTAGATCTCTACAAATTTTCAAGGGAGTGATACCAGCGCCACTTTACAAGTTGTCTATGCCAAAGCCTTTGCCACAGATGACAATGACGGTGAAGAAGGAGACTGCGCAGATTCGACCCTTCGTTGTCTGTGCAATTCTCCGAAATGTCACCTTTGACAAGGACAGATATGATAGCTTTATCGAGTTGCAGGACAAGCTGCATCAGAACATCTGCCGAAAGCGGACTCTTGTCGCCATCGGAACACACGACCTGTCAACCCTCAAGCCTCCTTTCACTTACGAGGCCTTGCCTCCCAACCAGATCCACTTTACCCCACTGAACCAGACTGAAGAGATGGATGGGAACAGAATGATGGAGGTCCTGTCTGCACACCAGCAACTCAAGACATACCTGCCCATCATTCGAAGCAGCCCAGTCTATCCGGTCATCTACGACAGCAACCGCGTGGTTCTGTCTCTGCCGCCCATCATTAACGGCGAACACTCAAAGATCAAAATGGAGACCAAGGACGTCTTCATTGAGTGCACCGCCACGGACCTTACGAAGGCTAACATCGTGCTTAACACCGTCGTGGCGATGTTTGCGGAATATTGCAAGGAGCCCTTTGTCGCTGAACCCGTTGAGGTGATATATGAGAGCGATTATCCGGGCAACAGCTTCATCCAGCCTGGCGACAAGCGCCTCTACCCTGCGCTGGAGCCCAGAGCGATGAAGGCCAAGATCAGCCGAATGAAGGCTTCCCTCGGCTTGGACAAGCTCAGTGGTGCCCAAGTCAGGGATTACCTGCGCAAAATGAGCCTGCCGTGCGACATCGATAGCAAGGACGCCGACATCTTGGACGTTCAAGTGCCCATCACGCGCAGTGACATCATGCATCGCGGATGATAATTGCTAAGGCTCCTTGTTTGTTGCCTATAGTACTATATAGTCTGTTATGACCTGCCCTAAAACCCTGTGGTAATTATTAAGGTCCCGATACATCAGCCTCGCCTCGGAGTTGCCCAGGATCTCTAGAAGCGGCAAATATAGCAAGTAAGTACTGCAAGTGAAGGATTTGGAGGAAAATGGAAGCCCCGGTTGCCCTGCACAGGGACACTCCGAATGCGCAATATACGGCATCACTCCCTTAATCATGCTTTCCATGTTCACCCCAACCTGGGTCGAGGCATGAGTGCGACCTCATCGAAGACCTGGCTATCGCTTATGGGTACAACAACCTTGAGACCTCCGTGCCTCAAACCGTGGCTGTGTACGGGCCCTAGTATCTTCTACTAATCAGGCTTGGCGGGCGAGGAGTTCTCAGCCAACAAGAAAGCTACTGCAGGTCCAGGCTTGCGAATCCTTAAGTAGGGCATCCAAACACGAAGATTGGCCGGAGGTTAAAAGGTGATTAGATGCAGTGGAGGGTCTCCAAACAAATGCTCCAAGAACATTCGCTGCAGAAACATGAGGTGTAATCGTAGGTTTGTTCTTCACCGGTTGCTGCGTAAAGTTACAGGAGGTATTGCTTGAACCTTTAGTTCGGGCGCCAGAATTCACGGTGTGAGTCTGCGTGCTTCAGGTCTGCTGGACAGCCTGTCAATAACTTGTCCGACCTGGCCCGCGGCGAGCTGGCAATGGCCGGATACACCGAGTGCATGAAACCGGTCTCGTGATAGCCTTGGGGTCTATGTGTTGTTTTCCCAAAAAAGCCCTGCGACCTCTCAAGCCGCAGTGGCCTCCCAAATCTTGAAGTGCTTGTCAGCCTTGTTAGGGTTCATGGTCCCGAAATATTAATGTGAGTCTTCCTTCGAAGGAATTGGTCGCTCCTGTCCAAGAAGGAGAACTTCACCTTCATGAGGCGAGAATCCAAGGTGGAGGAGCTTTGGAGAACGGTCAAGCAGCCCCTTGGACTTGTAGTGACTGTGGTGGCCAAGCGGGTACCGCTTCGCTGCCTTGGTGCGGTTTAAACGTAAACCCAAGCTCAGAAGTCTCCGTACAAGTTCGTATATACTTGGCATCGACGGACACCGTCGTACAATTGCTTCTAAGCTCGAGCTGGTACTGTCATCAGCAGAAGCAGGAAGGGACCGCCTTGTCAGCTTTGACTGCTATTGCAGAAGACGACACAGGCCTTACGAGTACATTCCGACAGCCCCGGCGGTCTCGGTGTCGAACCCGAAGACCAAGGATTTTGAGATCATCAGGACCGAAAGATGTAGAATACTGTTGTTGGGTTCAAAGAAGTTCGTGTGAGTTGAAAGGACCTCCATGATGCCAGGCATCTTAAAGACCCTGGCCAACAGCAAGCAGTTACCGCCTCCCATCAAGCTGCTCCTTGGTCGTGTCTGGCGATTGGCAAAGGGAGTGCGGTCCTGACAGGAGAGTCACAACACCGACCTCGATTGAAAAGCCCTCCCTAGACGCTAAGTGCTAGAGGGCTTTGTCTGTCTGGCCATGTCCTTACCTTCTAATTGGCTCTTAGCCGACTCGGGAGTGCCTGCATTCTTCTGCCAGGGTTCATGCCTGGCTGTTAGGCGGCAACCCCGAACGTCGTGAAGCCATGCCTGCCTGGTGCGAGCATGTGTGAGTCGAAACCCTCCGTGCTCAACGGCCAAAGCGAACTCTAAGCTGACTCTGCACTGTTGAGGTTCGAGGTGGGCGACGTAGTGATTCAGGAGCCCACGAGGGAGGTCGGCTGCAAAAACGTCCGACGGCTGGTGGCAGTACACGCCAACATGCGAAGTCAGTTCTCATTGCTGCAGCTTGCCTGCTCTTGAGCTCAATCTTTTGGAGGTACTTACAATTACACCTCAAGTTGGCTCATGTTAAGGGCCTGAAGCGCGAAGAATATAATCGCAGATCCTCTATCTCAGCAAAAGGAGCGTTGAACTATCCGGGCTTGTTGTTTTTGACTATGGTGTGTGCCTGTCTTTTGTGACGGAGTGTCTACTTTTCCTGCGACTGCTGGCAGCAGAAAGGGAGAGCGAAGCATGGTGGGAGCGTCCTGGAATCTCCTTCCTGTCATGGTTCCCTAAACCCTAAACCAGGATGAGCAAAGTAGGAGGGGAAAAAACCCTAAGACCTAAACACAAGCCTCAAGGCATGGAGTTCTGGACCAGCTCATGTACTCCCTAAACTGCGAGCCGGAGCATGAGCACAAAGAGGGCTCCAAGAGGCGAACCTTCAAGTTGGTGCCCAGCGGCTGGCTGACAATTCAAGGCTAAGAGGGTCTAAGGTTTATAGGGGTGTAGCGTTTAGGGTTTAGGGGCAGACGAGTGCGATGTGCTGCGAGGGATCTGGCCGGGCGAGCTCAGTTCAAGCCTGTGGAAAAAGGGGCAGAGTCTGGTTTCAAAAAAGGCGTGTAGGGTTTAGGGTCAAGCGGTTTCGCGGCTAAGGAAAAGACGCGAGTGTACAGGGACAGTTCGAGGGGGAGCCAGGTTGCTCTCGCTCTCTCGCTACACTGGCAACGGTGCTATCAACACAACACACTACGACTACCAATGCTACCTCCTCCTCGTGTCCTCTGGTGCTACAGCAGCAACACCAACAACAACGACAACAGCAAACAAACATTGCGAAAACCAAGGCGACAACGATTAAACAGCAATAGGACAGAGCAGCTTCTTCACAGCAACGACGCAGCGTCAACATTCGTAGCCACCACCACCGCCGCCTCCACCGTTTCCACCGCCGCCGCCGCCGCCACCACCACCACCACCACCACCACCACCACCGCCACAACCCCCGGCGCCGCCGCGATCAGCTGTTTGGTCTGACGTAAGTCGTCTAACGGCAGCATTCGTTTCAAGCTGTGGCCGATCATGGGATGTTTGGTCCGCGCTTATTTGCTCCGAAAGGATACAGGGACCCTGATGTAGCCAGAGACTCCTAAATAGCCCTAATTTGAGAAACCCGCAAAGACTAAGGCACCACAAAGCTCTTTCAATCTTTCACAATCGTTGATGGGCGACCGAGGCGAGGATCCAGCCTTCTTTGTGGGCATGCAGGCACACGTGGTGTGCGAGGGCATAAATATCGGAATCATCGGCGAATTGCACCCAGAGGTCCTGAGCAGTGGCCTTGGCTGACACAGGTTGTGAATCCAGCCAATTTTTGTTTGTCTTTTCTCCGCCTGGTTTTCATCACACTGAAGTAGTTCTAACCGTTGCCCAGGTAAGGGCTTCGACATCAATTTGCCTACCTCGGCGTTTGAGCTCAACCTTGAGCCTTTCCTGGAGTGGCTTTGAGACGCCCAGTCCGCAGAGCGCTTCAAGAGTGCCTACGTCGTGTCCCTAGCCCTGGCCTTGCCGGCCCCAGCATCCAGTGCCATGGTGCTTCCCGACCTAGTCGTTACCAAGCAGTGGCCTGAACAAGCTAACAGTGTGGATGACCTGGGACTGGCCGTAATCCCACTCTTGCAGCAGAACAGCTTTGCTTTGCGTGGGGCCGGTGAGCCATCAGGCACCTTGATTTTGCGTGTACAGGGCGTGACAAGCCCACCGTCGTGTCACAGCAGCAGCGACTACCAAATCAAGGTGACCGCACTCGACTCGTGCAGAAAGTCCGACTGCATGATGCAAGGCCTCCACGGAAGCGCCCCCTGCTCCTGCACCTGCGTGCTACGAACCAAGGGAGGGAAGTAGGCAGAGTTCACGGAAGTTTCACCTTGATCTTCAAGCGCCTGGCTCTTGCTGCCGAGGTTGCCGATCAATCCCCGGGTCGAGCGAGATGCATGCAGCGACTTCCCAGCAAGAGCGCGAGCCACAAGACAACCAATTACCCCTAGCCCTAGACTCCTAGACCGAGAGACGTTCAGGCCCTTCGATTTAAGAGCTTTATGAGTCTTATGACAGAAAAGATACGGTGTAGTCTAGTCTAGTCTAGTCTGACCTCGTGTATTATAGCAAAAGCTCGCTAGCATGGCATGGCATGGTAGAGCATAGTATTGCACAGTACAGGACAGCACAGTACCGTACGGTAGAGTTCCCTGATTAGAGACCACACACTTTACAATGCAGGATCGGCACCCGATTCTAGCAACCCTTTTAACCTGGCTCTGCGGTCGCAAACTGAGCTGCAACCTCTACTGTCCCGGGTCATCTGGACAGTTAGACAGTAGCCTAGACCCTAAACCCTAAATGGTAGCCTCACTCTTGATCTGATGGCCCTATTGCTTTTGGTATCCTCGAAGGCGAGTACCTTCTCCTCTCCGAGCTCCACGGGTTTATCGAGGCGGGTTTAGGGCTTTTGGTCGGGTGGCGTCTTTTGCCAAAACCCTCAAATCTTAAACCCTGCTGCAGACGGCACTCCCAAAGGAGGTGAGACCATAGAAGCCACAGAAGCCAGAGGCAAACTGGGATGCTACAATGCGGGCCTCGATGATTCTTTCATGAGGTGTCCAGGGCACCGACGATAGAGAATAATCTAGTCAGCTCTTCCCTTCGCACCCTGTTTTAGAGCTTCTTCATGGACGTGCCTGAGTCAAAGATTCTTTACCACACATTCTTGGGTAGAAGACCTGCTACTCTGTTTGCCTCTGGTTCGTCTTGCGGGAAGCCATGGCTCTGACGTTGCTGGCGCTGATCTGCGCGGCCAAGGCAGCCGCCGGTGAGATTGAGCAGGTGGCAGTTGGCTATGATCACACATGCGTGCGAGGCTCGAATGGTTTCGTCAAGTGCTGTGGCCTCAACAACCAAGGCCAGTTGGGCCTGGGCACCACCGACAATATGGGTGATGGAAGCAGTGAGATGGGGGACCACCTCCCTGCCGTGGCGCTCGGCACCGGACGCTCGGCATTCGAAGTTGCTGCTGGTGACAGACACACATGTGCCAGGCAGGACGACGGCACTGTCAAGTGCTGGGGCAACAACGACCACGGCCAGTTGGGCCTGGGCACCACGGACAGTATGGGCGATGGAAGCAGTGAGATGGG